CACGTCAAGGTGCAGTCTCGTCGTGATGGTCGCTAGATTAGGCGTGGTATTGAACCGGACGACAGCAAAGCTGCCTACAACCAAATACCTCACTTTAGGTCAGCGGTGACTTCCGGACCCTCACTATTGAATGCCATTGACTACAGTCGATAACCACGGAGAAACACGGTCTAGCTCGACATCCGAAAAGCCTCCAATCGAATGAAACACAGAGGTCTACTGGCAAAACTGCTCATGCTTGGGTTCCCTCCGGCTCTATTATCGTGAAAAACGAAGCATTTTTCTTGCATCCAAATGTTACGCAGCAGGGTAGTAATAGAGGTTACGAAGTTATCACCTCTCTTGATCACATCCGGTTCTGTTGCCTTTCCTCACTTGAATGCAAGACCGAACTTCTGCTTCCGTTGGAGGATTGCATGACACTTCCTACGGAGCTTCGGTTGGAGATGAGGCAGCCTGGTTAGCACTAGGCCAGCTGAATTGTTCGCAAAAGAATTCTGCCCAGCGATCGAGTCGTTGATCCCTATTGTGAATTTCATCCCATATGCAAATCATGGAACGTTTTTCTTTTTTATAAGGATTATTGTACCATGATTTGTTTGGCACATAGGCTGGCGTCAGACGTGTGTGAAATATAAATAAACCTCAAGCAAATAATTTCATTAAAACCGAAGCCAATCGGCGTCAGTTAGTGATTGAAAAAAGAAAGAAAACAATATACGACACTCGATACACTTCATCTACAGTCAATTGAGAAAGACGAAAACTTACCGTCCGGTCCTAATGCTTCAAGGAACGATTTAATATACGGTCCTGGTAGACCGTTAAGGGCTTCAAAGCACAATGCAGTGTCCTCAATGATAACTGGACCCTGAACAAGACGAGTGGCAGTGCGACACTTTTCTCGGCTGACCTCTTCAACTGAGCCTTGCAATTCCGGCAAATCTAACTCTTTGGCTACTATCTATCAGGAAACGTGGCAGGTGAACCGACCATGCAAAATGCAATAACCTTTCCCGCATACTGTGAGCCGAGGATTTGAATGAATTCAGCCAGTTTGTTTTTATTTCCAGTCACGAATGAAATGGGCCAGACCATTTCCTCGGTAAATGAGTCTGAAAATGGAGAGAAATTATTTAGCGCATCAACTACTCGCAGATTGTATTTTTTGCTAAATTCCCCCAATACAAATAAACTTCAACCCCATTAACATCATCACTGTCACCGCGTAGTGTAACATACACACATTGTGAACAATTTAAAAACGGAAAAATAAGGTAGGCGGAGTATTTTAAAATACTCTCAATTAAAGGAAAGAAAAAGAAAACTAAGCTCTATGGTAAACACACAAAGTATTCTTTAAGCTGTTGGATCTGACAGTTTAAAGGATACGTTGTGTACCCAACCAGTATGAGTATCTCGTTGACCGTTCGTTGAGCACATCGCTGAGCGTTCGTTGGGCATCCCTTTTGAGTGCACTAGATTCCGCCAGGATCTTCGATATCCTGAGACCGCTTCTTCAGCTAGGTTTTTCAACGTTGTTTAAGTCAATGCCACCTCCGGTGAAGTAACTTCACGTTAATCGGTGAGTGAGTTCAGTGCTACACTTTCAGGTCACAGGAATAGCGGCCGATATCAAACGAGTGTCCAGTTTCTTGAGCGACCGATCTGCAGTGTTCTCGATGCGCTTCGACAGCTTCTGATTTTCTCTTCCGTAGGGGCCAATTGAACGTTTACCTGGAAAGGACTGGGAGGAGAATGTAGCATGAAAAAACAGGCTCGAGTGACCCTAGAGTACCCTTGAATACCTACATCCGTAATTGCGTGTCACTCTTTTCATAAGCCTCGACGTGCCTACATCTACAGCCTTGAATACATTCAAACATACAGATACACATGCATACCCATGCATGCAGTCATGTGCATACATTAACTTGGACTGGTAAAAATTCTTACTGGTCCCAGAAGTAGAGCGACAGTCCGACGCTGAGTGCTTGGCGAACACTCTGACTATACTCATGGTACGTCATAAACAGGGTAAGTCAAACTCAATCGAGCCTCAAACTACACTGCTTATTCCTCACACTGACAGTCGAAGTTCGCGGTAGTGGACTAGTCATATCTCTGGGGATGCATAGTAGTTGACCCGCTCAATCTGCGTTTTGTGCACTGTTGTATATCCTACCAGTGGTCACTCCTGGGGTTCAAGTCTCGAGTGCAGTGGGTGGGAGATCTGGTTTTTAAGGTTGGATCAGATGGAGGTTGTCGGAGGAGTATTTACGGAACCTTGATGGCACAACAATGAAAAGAAGCATTCATACTTTGATCATCATTCGCCATACTGTAATAGAGATTGAGAGACAAGAGTCAACCCCGGAACCGGGCACCCCTCGGTCGAGAGAGCTTCGGCCTACTCAGCGGCACCCTTTAGCCAGGTAGGGAAAAATTACCCCGTTGGCATTGCGCTCGGGGTTCAGACGGTATTTTAATCATCAAAGTTAGAGTAAAAACACGAGTATTATTTTTAGGAGCAACATAGTAGATACCCTGCTGTT